CCAATAATTTTTTAGTAATCTTGCACGCCAATTTCGAAAAAATGATTTAAAGCTTTTGGTATCGAAAAGTAGTGCTTTTTGGTAACTTACCGTTAACTACTATTCTAGGTCCATACAGCAACCTTCTGCTTCCTCGTAAAACTCGTTTTGTCGCGTTAATTGCAATCTAGCTGAGCTGTACAAGCCTCTTTCATGCTGCTTAATCAGCGCTATTCCTACCTCGTAACTCGTTACTCGTCGTAATTGTTAGCGAATATTTCACAATGTTGGCCAATATTTATTTTCAACAACTGCATTATCATTAAAATACCCAAAATAGCCTTCATTGAAGACATGCAATTTCGATTTTTTTTTTGCGCTAGAATACTTTTGGAACGAAGCGCTAAATGGAATTAAAATTCTCGTTTGAATTTTGCATATGCCTTCTTTGAAAATAAACATCTGCTAAGGTCAATAACACCTGCTAGGGACCGAAAAGCGAAGGACAATAGGTGCTCCCGCTGCGCTGTACATCTGCGCAACGCGTACCTGTTCCTCAGGCTGTAACAGAAGTATTTTGAATTTCGATCTAAAACCTAACTTTGCAAGTATATTTTTTGAAAGTAATACTATTGATTAAAGCAAAAAAATATAAAATTTTGATCCTCTAATCCAGGATCTCCCCCTTTAAATTACATTAGATATTATACATTAGAGATATAGATAGAAGTGGCGCAACTAATTATCAAAATCATTCGTTTTATATTTTCTTATATTTTAATAATCTGAAAATATAAAAAGGATGCACGTATGTATATATACACATCCAAATAAATTTTTTTATTAAAATCTTTATTTCTTGTGTTTCGTAGCGTTTTCCTAAACAATAATTAACGTAACTTAACGTGAAATTGTGGTGTACGAGAGAGAGAAAGAGAGAGAAGAGAGATAGAGAAATAAAGAGAGAGAGAAAGAAAGAGAAGAGAGAAAATATAATGCTTAATATATTAGAATTATGGAAACTTTCACTCAAATCAGTAATGTACGATATACAAGTGGAGCAGATTTAAGATACGTAGAGTAATCTTAAGATTATATTGACAATGAGACGACGCGACCGATTACCAAAAAATAATCGATCTCTTGGTTGACCAATGAGTTAATTACGCAAATAGGTACGCAGACAGAGTAGAGACATAAGTTAACTTATGGGTTTAGACTCGAGGAACATATCTTCGTCCACATCGAGAAAATAACTATAAATAATAAATGTTTGCGAAAAAGGAGAGATGGATGATTCCGAAAATTTGCGATAAAAACTGAAAATAAAGAAAACTTTAAATCGCGATTTCTCTCGACGTGTACGGCACACTCTGCTTTGATCCGGAAGTCTATACCCTCGTCAGAACATGTTATAATATGAGAGTTAAGTTATATCATATACTTAACACGATACACAAAGTCATTATATCCCAAGTATCAAATGGATGCAATCAAATACCACGGTTCAAGCGAAACGCAGACTGTTACTTATCGGTCTTGATTAGAATGCAGATCTGGTATACGTGGATGTAATAATTTCCGTATATGCTTGTATCATGTTTTACATTCAGTCACTTCAATCGCTTATTTAAAGTTCCGCGTGAACCGGGTGCTCTCCCTTTAAACAAAAAGAAATAATTTATCATTACAGCAATCGATTATTCGCATTTACTTAACATATAATAAACATCCACATTATTAATGAAATGTGAAAAAATGAGTTGGAAGAGACTTTAGATGACTATTTTTGCCACAAATACATTTTGGAATGGGATATGTTATCCACCTTCCCAATTGGCACTAATGCCTTCGTACGAAAATCTTACGTTACAATTTCATGTTTTCATATTCACAAATACATAGAAAGTCCCATTCAACACGGATAAATTGCTCGAGTATCTTTTATTCTCATGCTCACGAATCCAAGTATAGTGTGAAAGACACATTTTACAAATGTAACGTGGAAGAAAAGTACATTCACAAGTTCTACTTTTATCAGTCTTCAAATAGAAAAATTACTTCGAATATACACAACAAAAAATTTGATAACTACATTACTGCACACAATCTAAAAATTTGAGAAATGCATTCCGAGTTATGTAATAACCAACTAATTCAAACTTCCACTTCTTTAGGCGCACATTTTTCGTCAAAGTTCAATCCAGAACAAATCCTAACATGTTGCGCGGAATTATAGTTACCTTATCTTATTATTCTCGTTATTCATATCTCGTTTATTAAATGTAATTAATTCAAACTAATCGCGTGCAACATATCGATCTTACATTGAGATTCTCAGATTTTTTATATCATCACGAATATCAGTAAGAGTCGAATGTTAAATGTCGTGTTAAGAAAACGAAAAAGTCTTAACGATATTTGTAGCAAAAATACACATGTCATATTGCTCCCCGCGATCGTACGCAGATTAAAAAAAAAAATAAAAATAAAACTTAACAGACGACACGAAGTTTTGGCAAAGAACATAACGTTTAACGACGTCGAACAACCAACACTCAGTGTCAAACGGGCGGCGGCTGTACAAATCGTGGTACCCGTTGACAACGAGCTCGATGATCGCACACCTATACTTAAGAATCTATTATTTATATGACGATACTGCTCATATGATTTGCTCACAAATGAGTTTAACTGTACCGCGAACGAAACTAGTGACCCACGCTACTCGATCCAGTTATACCAATAATCATGTGTACTGATACATCGTACATGCGTTATTACCAATAACATATGTACTGCTCCATCTCCATACGACTAATAGGCGTTCAGGTATATCCATTCATTCTAACGAAAGCAAACACGATAATTACGCAGACACGTACCCTAACGTAATATTATTAAAAGTAATGATACCTTTGAAATAAAAATCCCTGAAATATAACAGTTGAACCGTCATAATTAATTATTTCAATTGACGATATATTTACAACGAAAATGACAGATTTTCTTGACTCTTATGAAAATAATATGACTACTTGTGAGTGATATTCATAAATGTTCATGTTGACATGTTTGCAAATGAACATGATAGTTGCAGAAAGACTCATTCGAGATTACGTAGGAAGATGAAGCATAAGGAACAGAATGCATATGTGTATGTGTATATGCATGAATCAGGCATGTGTATGTATGTACGTATGTACGTATGTACGTATGTACGTATGTACGTATGTACGTATGTACGTATGTACGTATGTACGTATGTACGTATGTACGTATGTACGTATGTACGTATGTACGTATGTACGTATGTACGTACGTATGTATGTATGATGTATGTACAAACAAACTGCATAAATGTTTAGAAGTGTGATACAAACCCGAAGAATATTATCGATTATCGTCTGTAATTTTTACAGTTTCAGTAACGTAACTTCATTGTCGTATTGCAAAAACGCATTTAACAATAACAGATATATAATTTTTATGAAAAGAGGTATCTTTTACAAGTATAATTGATAGCAAAAATTAGATTTACTAAACTTACAAATGTTACGATATTGTTATATTATTAATTCTAATGGACAAATTCGCTTTAGAAGAAAAGTGTTTACACAACACTTTGGCCATTTACTGCTTACACAAACAAAAGTCAATTATTATCGAATGTGTAAAATCATCCAAAAGTTTCCTCTCTTGCGATTGTAAGAAATTCTAACATTTGCATGGAACTCATAATTCTTCGAAAACAAATTTGTACATGAGAATTAATTTCATGTCGATAATGTTTAGCTCGCGCATCTCTTATTAAAAAAATTATATCTTGCGTATACAATATGATTGTAGGTGTTTTCCATTTGATGATAAAAAAGTCGATACAAACATCATTTCATCTTTCTTGATCTCCAATGAATAACAAAGATATAACGTTATATTTGCGTTGTATCATTAAATGAAGAGCACCTTTTATATCTTATAGATTGTGTCATAGAGAAAATAATGAAGAATAGATTTTAGAATGGATTTGTTTGATGAAACACACAACCAAAACTTTTAAGCTTTTATTGTATTTATGGTCTCTGATAAAGACTCTAAAGAGTACTTGTATTATGTACAGCTATACAGTTTCTATATTCGAATATTGAATATTACACACAACAGAATGTATATATACGTATATATATATATATATATCTGGATAATATTGTAAAGAAAAGATCAACATAAATTTTTGTAATGTTTAAGAAAGAAAACATATGCTGCTATAGCATCTATATATTCGCATTTGTATCATTCTTACGTTCTATCCAAAAAGATACACATTCACATTAATTACTGTATTGTACAATAGTTGCTTTCCATCTTCACATAAGTGAGTCAAAAGTTATGATTATAAAAATGACGTCACTACTTGCTTACTTTGATGACAAAGTTATCTCATAACATAGGTCTATAACTTTATTTTTAATGTGAGTTAACAAGACCTAGTCAACAAAGTATAGTCGTTTTCGAATTTGTAGGTAAAAACTCAGTTGAATCTCACTTGTCACAATGCAAAAGAGCGTGCATTCAACTGAGTTAAAACATCACAAATGAGAGCTATCTAAATTTTGATATAAATAGAAAGCAACCGATGCAAGTACTATAAGATCTACCTTTCATCTAATCCAATAATGCTACGAAATATACTATTCGCCGAATGTAAAAAAATATCGCTTCTCGTGTCAAAAATCTTGACTTGATTATTGTTATAGACAAAATTAGTTTTACAAAACATATAATTAATTGCAAGTCTTAAAAGCCTGCAGAGATTTTTGTAACTTCTATAATCGTACTCTCTAGAGCCTCCCGATGTGAAAAGCTATACTTTTATATTTTATTTAGCCATTTTATTTCTACATAATTTTGGAAAAAAGAAAGATATTTTGGTTGTGCGCTCATATAATTTTTGAATATCAAGAGATATTTGACAAAAGATTTCAAGAATAGAACTGATGTACATTTTTCTTCAAGAGATGCATTTTTACGACTGTTTTTACTTGTTTACGGCATATTAGCAACGAAATACAGCCTCGTCATTGAAATGCACCGAGCATAACAGTTGCTTCAGAGAAAATAAAGAAGATACAATAATAAAACAATAAAAGAAAAAACTTAAAAATGTGTTCAGCATCATTTATGTAAAACGTTCAATCATAATCTCCTCCCGTTAAAGAAACAGAAAGCACGATCGCATTATTCAGAAAACGAAAATTTTTCAGAATAATTATACTGTTTCGCACGTACAACATATGTATCTTTAAGGGGAAGCGAGTACATAAAATTACGATACTGTAACAATATGATTCTTAAAACATAAGAATCACTTTCAAGCAAAATGATACCTTACATTTATCGATACAATTCGCGATCTAACTACTAATGACCGAAAAAAATATGGATACATAACCAAAGTGTACGGCAGCTTTTTTAGCCATCAAAGGAATTATATGTTAGATTAATTCAGTATCTTAAGTTACCTAGTTACTGTTGTGTTTGTGTATCAAATCATTATCATAACAATTACTTGTTGGGCACACACCGAATTAAAGTCTCAGCTGTAAGCATGTATCATATTTTCGGTACTTTTCCGCAGGTTGGTGTTCATTAGCCATCCTCCTTTGGAGGTGTGAACCAACCTATTAAAAAGAAAACGTTTTTAAGCAATGTTAATAATTGCACATAAAAAAGTAAATTCTCACCATTCTTTTCGTGTATTTGTACAAGAGACTTAAATGACTGTTGGGCACGTGCCAAACTATATTGGCCTTGTCCGCCACACACTTTGCCAGCGCCGCCTGATCCTTGGAACTGTATACGCGCTTTCCCTTTCACTAACGTCGCTGAAATCTGCATTATAACAGCTTCTACTGTATACGCCGAACTCCACCCTTGTTTTGTAAGAAGTTCCATGCAAATGGCACCTCCCACAAGAACATATCCACCAGATATGATAGGATGTACGACTCTTACAAATGGAGGTTCAAACGGATAAGTTTCCTACGATGATAAAAATTAGGAATAAAATATCTACAAAAAAAGTTTAGAAAAAATGTAAATTAATATATATATGTATATATCTTATTCAAAGCTTAATGTGGTGACGTCTGACTCCTTATGAAAATGATCAACTCCATAATTCCAGATTTGATTCTGACCGTCATCCCTATATAT